CCACATGTGGCCTTCCTGATTGCCGGTTGGTTTCCTGTTTGAACAAAGTGTTTGCCGGTTTGAGACACGTCCTAATCCCCTTTTTATATTTAATTTTAATTTTTGATTTTTTTAAAGCTCTGCTACCTATATATGGTGAAATGGGGTTGTATGAATGTTTATTAAGATACCTGGGCCCAATATATTTTCTACCATCCACCGCTAAATCAAGCACATTTCATGTCGCTGCTTGAACCTTATTCAAACAAACCTAATAAACTTGTCAAAGTGCACAATAAGTCAAAGGCTGCTGAATGTTATTCTAATAAGATTGTTTATGATTATCCCATGCCAGAGATTTTCATCTATGATTAAACCTAAAAAATTTTGAGTGGTCTAATTGGGCCAATACATTATTATCAATTTATCCATGTTTGCCTCCTGGATTGAATAATAATAATAATAATAGGTTAAATACCTTGTATACGTCCTCAATCCAAGTCGTCTTTTAAAATGACTATAGTTTCGGGGCCAACAGCCCCATTGTCAAATTTTCTGTCTTGTTAATTACTGTTTATAGCATTGGTCACCGTTGAAGTACATATATACACATACACTGACACACGAAACATTTATATTTACACGTAACATTGAAAAATTATGTTTTTTGGCCGGCCTAAACAAAAGTGATTACATCATTGTGCGGACCGGTACACTGACTGACTGACTGATTCATGTTAGCCGATACCCTGGAGACGTTGACCTTGGCCTTGGGGGAGGGGGGTGATCAGCTGTTTGTCACTATTTCTATTGTTCAATGAATCGATGCGATCGAACAGAATGTTGGAATTGAAAGTTAGTTTTTCGTTTAACACATCGTTTGGCGATTTTTTGAAAGCTTTATAAATTTCATAGCTTTCTAGGACGTTCATCACGGGGCCTTTATTGCATTTATGTAAAATTTCTAATCCTCCATTGGAACTTTTTATGGAATGGTTTTCTTTTTGCAGGTGTTCGGCAATCTTAGAACGCTGTGAATGCAATTTAGGTTTAGGGAGATGTTCATTAAACCTTGTTCTAAAGGAACGACCAGTTTGCCCTATGTACATTCTTGGGCAATCATTGCAATTTATTTTATAGACACCCGTGTTGTCCAAGTTGTTATCGATATTATTACGCCGATTCGTTTTCAAATGACGTTCTATCTTGCTTGAGGTTTTGCATGCCAGGGTGATATTTTGTTTCCTAAGTTCATTTTTAATAGTGAAGTGGAGGACATTGCCGTATTCAATTGATACAAACTTATGATCAGACTTATCAATTTCTCGTTTAACGGTTCTGGATTTCTGTTTACTGATTATTTTATCTATGATATTACTTTGATAACCATTTGTGACTGCAATGTGTTTTAAAATGATGTATTCGTTGTCATAATCATTTTTCGTTAATGGAACTTTCAATAGTCGGTTTACAAAACTATTGTAGGCAGCCATTTTGTGGGATTGGGGATGGTTAGAAGTGGCGTGTATCGTATGATCAGTTGCCGTGGGTTTCCTGTAAATTTTGTATTTGAAGCTGTTATTGTCTTTTAATAAGGTCAAATCTAAGAAATTAATAGAATCGTTCTGTTCGATCTCCAATGTGAATTTGAGGTTATGGGAAATACTGTTGAGATAGTTGTTGAATAAATTAAGTTGTCTTGCATTACCGTTGAATAGTACAATTGTGTCGTCCACATATCTTTTGTAGAACAATATCTTGTTGGCAAATTTGTTGTTATGAGAAAAAATATGTTCATTTTCGAAATGGTTCAAATATATCTCGGAGAGAATGCTTGATAAGGGTGAACCCATGGCCAAGCCGTCATTCTGTAGAAAGTATTTATCATCAAAAGTGAAGTAATTCTGCTCTAGGACCGTCTTAAGAAGGGTTATTACTTCATTTATGGCTTCAGGGCTAAGTTCTGAATTATGCAACAAATTATTCATGGTTATGTCGAGGGTTTCTGGAATCGGGACATTAGTATATAAATTAATAATGTCGAACGAAGCAATTGTGTGTCTGGTTTCCACTTTCATGTTTCTTGTAAAATCTATTAATTCTAGACTGTTTTTGAGGCTGTGGTTGTTGTTAAATCTTAGGCTCTTATTAGACGAGGCAGCCAAGTTGCGCAACCAGCCGGGCAGCCAGTCGCCTGCCTGGCTGCCTAGCGTAGCAACCAGTAGAGCAACCACAGGGCAGCCACCACAAAATTACAAACTAGGCCAGTCTCTTCCTCTTGTTGACAGTGGAACAGTGTTGGTGGAACAGTTCTGTTGGGGAGAGACGCCTTTTTGGTGCAGTAGTTTTAGAGCCATCTCCCTGTTTCTTCTTTTTAGATTTATTGAAACTTCCAACCACACTCACTTCACTATTCTCGTTGTTTGCTACAACATTCACTCTCACTTTACAATCAGACGACATTGTTCACCAAAAGAATACTGAGGAAAACAACACACAATGATGTGACCGGCAGAGATGAACGCACTTCCACGAGTGATGATATTATACTACTGATGTGTGGCAGCAGGCGACTGGCTGCCCAGTGTAATAAGATCCGTAAGCTACACAGGAGCGCGACCAGACCGAGCAGGCAGTGGTTGCCTGTGCGGTCGCCGGGCTTGGCAACCAGCCGGCAGCCAAACAGTGGCTGTGCAACTGGCTGCCCTCGTGTAATAAGCTCCATAAGAACCAATGCCCAGTGACTAACTGGCCGACTGGCTGCCCGGCTGGCTGCGCAAGTTGGCTGCCTCGTCTAATAAGGGCCTTATATGAGTGCGGAGTAATTTATCCAAAACTTTAGCTAACTTGTAGGAAGGTGCAGATGTAAAATTAACTAGGGGTCTAAAGGGCATACTGTCTTTGTGGATTTTTGGCAGTCCTCTTAGTACCGGTGCTCGTGGCTTAATCATTTTAAGGTGGTTGGACTTTTTGCCATCGAAGATGTGTTTGGTCCTGTTTAGAGTTGTTTTTAATATAGTCTGGAATTTGTCAGTTGGATCAGAATTAATTTCTTGGATGTCATTTTTATTTTAAAAATCAAAAACCTTCTCTTTGTAATCACTTAGTTTCAAAATTACTATTGACTGACCTTTGTCTGCTTTAGTGATGATGCATTGGTTACTAATTAATTTTTCTTTAATGCTTTTTATGATTTTAATTCCATTATCAAAACCGTTTTTATGATTTTTGACATTCAGAGTTGATTTAATTTTCTTATCAATGACATGTCTAACATAGTTTCTTGCGTCTTCATTGTTGTTCATTGTCTTCATTGTTGATTATTATCAACAAATATTGTAGATTGTAGGCTTTATTTCGTTCATAGTTTTTTTTGTTAAAAATGATACAAAATTGGACTTTTCTGAAATTAGAAGGAGATTCCTGCCATCTAAAAAGTCTTTAATTAATGATAAGCCAATATTGGATGATAGGAAATTATGAAGTGACAGACTCATGACATCCAAGATATCGGATGCTGGGCTTCAAAGGGTTAAAGAGATGTATAAAAACCAACGATGTAAAGAACTACTGGATTGCGCTCTCAGTGGCGTAGCGGGCGCTGTTTTCGGTCTTGCTTCCCCCACTCTCTACTGGCAAGATAGCGGCGGCGTACCTCACGTGCATGCTAGCTGTCACCCATTTCAACAATTGTTTGATGTAACAACAGTGTGTGGTTTTTTTAAAACTGTGATTAAAATGAATCAATATCTTTAATTGTACGCTAAGTATGTGTTTAAAATGGTCTTGTTTCGCTTACAACAGCACCAACATAGTACAGAAAGGCAGTGGTATTTCGTTTCACGTGTAAAGTACTTAATCTAATAGTTTATAAACAAGGTGTCTTGTCCGAGTAAGTGATTCATTAACTCGTTACAGCATGTTTAACTTAACTGAAATATGTATTTGTTTTTATTTTGTTGATAGGGTTAAACTAAAACTGTACATTGTAAAACATGCACAATGAAATAAATGCGTCCGGGCTTATTTTCTTAGAGGGCAGTCAACACCATGGGTTATGATAGTAGGTTGGGTTGATATTCATTAGACATAATGTACTATTCACATCTTGTGCAATAAATCCCAACTAAAAAAAGAAAAGGGCAATTTGAGTTATTATACTCAACTAACTGATTATGTAACTAAAGGTAAGCTCATTAAGGCACACGAAGATGTTTTAAGGTAGTTAAGTACGTTTACAATGTATTAGTCAGCTTCAACATAAAGTAAACTTTAACACAAAAAGACAATTTGTAGCCGCGTGTTCCTATTTTGTGGCCTTGTGGGCACTATTTTTTAAGGGATACGTCGAGAATATTTCTTTTGAGGAAGACACCCATGAATTGCAATTGATTAAGTTTATTTGTGTCCTTTTTTATCAAAATATATTGCCACCACTCAGCTAAACAAAAAAGTATCACGTTTAAGCCTAACATAGGTCTCCGACAGAAACTCACCAAAATTATTTTATTCAAAAATATTTAATGTTTTTTTCATTCATACATCGAATATTACCTCTAAATGTTGTACTTAATATCCATTCTTTGCAATTACTTATTATTTTACCATGTTTAGTTTTGAACTAGTCATATCAGTTGTGCGAAAAACATCTAAAATCAAGTATCGTTAATTTGTAGTTTTAAAGAGTTCAAGTGGGTTATTCTATGCAAGAAAGAAAACATACATTAAGTTTTTAATTGTAGAAAGAGTTTGGCATGCATTAGTAATTTTTCATCCCTACATATTTAAACAGAGCAGCATCTACATCTAAAAAGGTGTGTTTAATACGGCGAGTGCATGGGCTGCACCGGCTTCTTCCAGTAGAGAGTGGGGGAACGCCGGACCGCGCGGCCAACACTGAGCCAGCGATCCATGAGTTGTTTATATCGTTGATAAAAACACACAAAATAGCAGAATTATAATGTGTGTAGCCTATTGAAACAATGTATCATTGTGTTTTAAATGATTTTGTTACAAATCAGGAACATTTGCACGATGAAGAGGGAGATGAAGAGAACAAACCTGCATTGATCTACAAAACTGTCATCTCTAAAGAAGAACAGTCCATACTAGACAGGTGATGTACTGTTAACAGTTAAAACATCTATGTAGGTTTTTTGGTCAATTATTCAGGCGCAAGAATTGATAATTGATAATTGAAGAAACAACTCTGGTGGTATAACTTTTAATTGAGTGTAATTGAATTTACTAAAAGAAGCTATAATACCCCCGCCGCAGCAAACCTGCAGACTAAGCGAATTTCAATTTACCTGGCTGGATTTCTACAGAATATTCCCTGAAAATGGTCATATCTTTTTCCTATTTAAATAACATTAATTTTAATGAGTACCTAGGTTTCCTGCTACAGGGAAGGTATTGAGGTGTGTTTTTTTTTATTGAAATGTTGATAGCTTTAATGTTAGTGATAAGCCAATTCCTGAATTGGTCGATAAAATTTTAAAACGAGAAAAAACCAACATATTCGGGAAATAAATTCTTTATGCATTTACCTAAAAAATATAGTCTGAAAAGAATATTGAAAAATTTAAGAAGAAACTCAAAGAGTTCGTAGTAAACAAACCTGTTCTATTTCTTATTTAGATAAAAATTAAAAGATCAAAAGAAACTAAACTGTTTTTAATCAAGACACAAATACAAGACAATATTATTAAAGAAAGTAAATAAAAACATATGGTGAAATAATAATTAAACTAGTGGAACCCCGTCGAAATCGACGGTTAATCTTGAGGTTTTATGTAAATTCAGCTAACTGCGTTCGATAGAGTGAAGTCATTAAAATCTTAGTTATATGAAAGGAGGATAAGCAATAATAAGTACGACGATTGTGTTCCCTAAAAAACATGATTGATGAATTCGTTTAACACAATATTTCCTACCTTTCTTTTTATCCGCTTTAGGTTGCCCAAAAGGTTTTTTAGGAGTCTTATAATTGTTTGTTCATGAGTTTGTTTCATACCAAAGCCACTTTCACTATATGGGAGAATGAGTTCATATAATTAGTCTATCATGTTACGGAAAGAGTCAATATTTATTACTAACCACTAATTCCATCTGCTTTAGGAAAATCATTCAGATTGTATCCGGATTTATAAGTAAATCTTCATCTTTTTTTTATAAAAATATCTGATTCTCCAGAAAGCAGTAACATTCTTACTTTGATCTCAGCAATTTTAAATCCTTCTCTTGCCACATCGACCCATGTATTTAATCATCCTGTTCTTACTTGATAATTCATTAACTTATGGGGTAGTTTTGCCTTGGCCATATAGATCACATAAAGCTGTGCATGTATTTCGTGGATTGGAATGAACCATAATTGTAGGAAATTTTATCACAAATCTTGAACATTTGCGGAACCAAATCCATAACCTAGTCCAGCATTGGTAACAAATTATGCAAATGCGATGAGATGTGATGACACTGTTGTGTTTCCGAATGTTTTGTATGTAGTGAGGTTTAGATGCGTTGTTCAACCTAGCTACATGTGTACATCAAAGTAAAAAACTGCAAGTAAAAAATCAAAGTAAACTGTGTACACATCTTTTTTAAATACCTGAATTGACATTAGTTCACCTACTTTACCAAAACCATAGACTCCGTAGTTAGTCTATTCCAAAACTTGAACACAGCTCTCATCCTCAAGGTACTCATCTATGACAACCCGATTATCAAAAACTGTTATAATAAATGAATCTCAGGTGTTCTTTCTGGAATTTAAAAATAAATGGTGATTGAAAGTAGGAAAAAAAGGCAAGTGCCAACCTTACAATATGTATAAGCTAACCCAATAAGGAATAGTTATATGTTCCTTTGAAATTGATAAGTCACACTTATTTCATAATTTAAAATTTTCTAAGAGCAATAAAGCATAGATTTTTGAACAAAACATTTCAAACGTATCATAAATTCATCATTTTGTTGAAACTATAAAAAACTTGCCATGCAGTGGAGAATCCATTTAAAATCATAAATAATAATGTAAACATTTAATTTTTACAGTTTCAGTAGACCTTTGAATACAATTTTAATGTTAACAGCTGGTCCATTAAAAGTAGTGTAAAATTATCCATATGGTCGAATTGTAAACAAAATTGCAGAGTGAACTTTAAAGGCATCTGGGGCAGAGCCCCAAGGAAATTTACATCGTTTCTCTTTTGAGGGCTCACCTACAGACCAATACCTTTCTTTAGACACCCCTACCAAGTTTCTACGCCCAGCTGTTCTCTCAAATTAGCTGTGACAAAAACCTCGTTTTCCTCCATAAGAATAACATGGGATGGGAATTTAAAGGCCACTGGGGCAGAGCTCCGAGGGAATTCTCCATGTTTCTCTTTTTATGGCTCATCTACAGACCAGGACCTTTCTTTAGACACCTCTACCGAGTTTCTACGCCCAGCCGTTCTCTCAAAATAGCTGTCACAAAGAAAAACAGTTTCAAATTAATATATAGATAACCATAGAGGTTGAACATCTTTCCCTTTGAGTTTTTTTTTTCAAAGTTTATTCAGGAAATCGTTTGGTTGGTCTTATAATTCTGCCTCTTGATGATTTTTTAATTGCAGCTTCTTGATTGGGAGTTGTTGATTGTGAAAAAGATTTACTGTAATCTTGGGTTGTTCTAGATGGAGTAGTAGTTGCTTTTTCAGTAGTATTTGATAGGGATGAGTTGGTTTGAGTAACAGTAGTAAATGGCAGAGTAGCTGGCATTGTATCTTTGATGGATGAATAGGATTGCTCTGTTTGCTTGTATTACCTTTGTAAGTCAAAAGGTGGTGTCGATTCCTTCTCAACGTAGTGTTTCCTGTCTTAACCCAGTATGACCTTGGTTCTTGTCCTAAGCTGATAATAATCCCCTCTCTTTTTAAGTCTTGGATATATACTTTTTGACCTACATGCAGCGATGGAAGTTCTCTTGTAGCGTAGCGTCTATTGTAGTTTCTCTTGTAAGATGCTCTGTATCTTTTTCCTTTAGTTGAGAGAGATCGGGTTTGATTTCAAGTTGTTTAGGTAAAACAGGCAGGTTATCTCGTAATGATCTATTGTATACTAGCAGAGTACCCGTCCTTCGTACGGGGTTGGAATATAAGTATAAAATGCTTATTGCAGTTATACTCAAGCTTTGCATTTGCAATAAGGGAGGACACAGATTGATAAAATTTGTTTTTTTAAATTTACAGTATTCTATAGTATTACACATCTACCATAGCCATTGTTCTACCACTTAACCTTAACAATAGAGAAAAATAAATTATCAACAATTCGCAAAATATCACAAATTATTCATGAAATGAAAAACATAAACATAACTGTAAATAATTCTACTTTGACAGTTCTCATTGCGAATCACAGTTTTTTGTTGCTGCTTAGTTCAAATTAGCTTTTTCATAAATGCAAAAAAATATAGTGCTGCGCCCTGTTGGTAAATCTTATAACTTTTTAATGCTTTTCCATATCATAGAACCAACTTTTTTAGTTGAAACAGCTGACTAAATTCTTTAATTCCCTTTAAATATGAATACTCATAAGGTTAACATGGGGAATTACAGAGCCACTGGGGCGGAGCCCGAAAGGATTTTTGAGATAAGAATATGCCTATATGTTAATCGGGAATGTAAGCTATCATCATGCCAAATTTCAGCCCAATCCGTCCAGTGGTTTATGCGTGATTGAACTTCAAACAAACAAACAAACAAACAAACACACAAACTTTCACATTTATAATATTAGTAAGATTAGTTGAGCAGGACTGTATCCATTTGTGGATAAGGGTGTATTGCGATAAGTCAGGAGAGCTAAATATGGATCTTCTTTTAGCGAATTTCCCTATAGGGAAGTAGCTATTACCGTAGGTCTCATGGTAAGACTTAGGCCCGGGACCGATTTACTTTTTCATTTTGATGTCCCCAGAGGCCAAAAACACCACTCGTTCAAATTTTTATATATGTATATATATATATATATATGTGTCCGTGAACACGATAACTTGAGTAATTTTTATCCGATTTTGATGAAATTTGGTTTGAAGGTGTAAGGCGGGATAAACTTGAATGAGTTCGCGATCTAGCATGATCGGACCATGGGAACAGGGTTTTATGGGGGGTTTTATGGGGTAAAAATAGGTTTTTCTCACTTTTGACCCTCAAAACACAAAAATTCCCAATTTTTCTCTAACCTTCTTAAAGAGCTTAAAAAAACAAACAATTCAGTATATCAAAGTATTTTTGTACAGTTATTGGTTACGGAGAAAAATAAAAAAATGGTAAATTTAAAATTCCCATGTTATTCTTATGGAGAATATTGTAAAATGTTGTAGTTTGCTTGTTTATGGATATCTTTTGATCAAACTTGGCAAATATATTCATTTTATACTAAGCAATAATTATTTTACTTAAAACACACACTTTATTAGTTTCCTTGTAGCAGCAAACCTAGGTACTCGTTAAACCTAATGTTATTTAAATAGATCAATTGAAAATCAATTCAGCCAAATGGAAATTCGCTTAGGCGTCAGGTTTGCTGCGGCGGGGGTATTTTTTCTTTAGTACACTTTTTGCTATTTTGACTGCAGCTTCAGCTGTACCGTTACTTTAGTGGTAGCTTGGGCTGCTCGTCACAAGTTTAAAGTTATAGCTTTGAGCGAACTTTTTTAATTCAGTGTTTTCAAGACCAGTGTATCTGGAAGCAAACTGTGTGCCACAATCTGACCGCAGCTCAATTGTTATACCGTGACGGCAAAAAACAGATTTGCATTTCTCGATTATTTCAGCAGTTGACAGGTTTTTTAATGTAGCTATTTCGAAATAACGGGAAAAACAGTCAGTGATTACTACGAACCATGTTCCTTCGAGTTTGAAGAGATCAATCGCTGCCTTTTCCCAAGGACGGGAGTGACATTCCCGGCCACCACATACTATTGTTGGCCCTAAGTCGACATTTAGTAATTCCTAGGTGACCTGTGTGTATTCTTGTCAACATTTCTTGTCTAAGAGTTTCCAGGATTATGCTATTATGAAGTGAAGTCCGGGCGCAGCATCGGACTTATGTTTGGTCTCATGTGGCGTCCCACACGGATCGATTCTGGGTCCTTTGCTGTTCTTATGTTACATAACCGGACTTCCTGATGTGCTACAGACTGTTCCCTATAGTAATTTATGTTTATATGCAGACGACGCAAATTTAAAAATCTCAGCAAAGAACCAAAATGAAATTCAATATTAAAGTTTTATAGAACTAGCTAATATAAAGCAATACAGTAGACTCCCTCTTATCCGGACACCTTTTAACCGGACATCGGTTTAACCAGACTACACTCGGCGGAAATGACTTCTCTTTAACCGGACAATTTTTATCAGCACATTGGTTTAACCGGACTAGATCGGCAGGAAGTGAGTGGTACTGAAACGACTGTTCTCGTGGGAAAGATTTGAGACCAGTGATCACGTGTCTAAATACAATGCTCTCATAAATTTAAGTCGAATATCACAGTAAACAGTCCGTTTTAACGAGTTTTTGGGGACGTCTGTTTAACCGGAAAACCCGTTATCCGGACTGGCCTCGGTCCCAAGGAGTCCGGATAAGAGGGAGTCTACTGTACTTCAATAATAATAGTCTTTTGTTAAATCCAAATAAAACTAAATTTATCACATTTATCACATTCATTAGAAATCCACTTACAGTTAGTATGTTGTCTTGAGAGAGTTGATGGAAAGAATGTATTAAAATAATGCATAAATATTTCATAAAAAACATCATACTTGCATTCCACAGTACATAAATAAAGATTAAGCCATATATTTAGCTTTTTATTTTAACAGTAACTGTTAACTGTAAACTGTTTATGACTTACTTTACTATCAATCAAATAACAATGAATTACTAATGTTTACACTCACTACATATAGGTTAGCAGGAAAGCCTGAGAAGCCTCCAAACTCAGCTTATAGCCTTTTTTCAAGACTGATGCTCCAAGACAAAGACAAACACTTTGTTGATGGAGAACCAAAAAACAGGATGAAGGAAGTTGCTTCCATGTGGAAAGAATTGCCGGATGATCAAAAAAAGATGTACGCAGAAAGAGTTCAGCATGTACGTATATTGTGTATCTAATTTTTTAAAGTATATCTTGTATTCAAATCTGCTTTATTTCCAAAAAATGTTTACAATATATACATATACAAAAAAACGAACAATAGTCCCGCATAGGCCGTAAAAGACCTGTGCGCGGGACGAGCTCTATTACAAATTAGAAATATTCTTAAAAATTAAAACTAAATTAATCAAAATAATATTTACAACTAAGCTATGAGACAGCTACAGGAACAGTTAATGCTAAATAAAAGGTAGTCGAGTGAATGGAGTTGCAGTTACTGATATATGTACGCTAAATATTGTTTGGTGTACCTGTGTATAATTATTGTTAGGTATTGTATACTGAACCGATAAGTGTCTCAGACTGATCGAGCCCAATCTCCATATGTAATTTATATTAATTAAAAAAATATATATTTTCATTAACATTGTGCGGTGTAGTTAATTATAAGAGATGAAAAATTGAGGGTTTTTTTTAGGGATGGATGGGATTGAATTTTTAGTTTGGGACGGGGCGGGACGGGATTTTTATTTCCTTCCCGATTTTCGAGACGGGATGGGACGGGATGGGACGGGACGGGATTTTTTTCTGTGCATAAAAAGAAAGTACTGTATTGCAGTAACCAAAAAAACCCCCTCCGCAGCAAACCTGTATATATTGATATATAAAAATTTGAACGAATGGTGTTTTTGGCCTCTGGGGACATCAAAATGAAAAAGTAAATCAGTCCCAGGCTTAGGTCTTACCATGACACCTATGGTAATAGCTACTTCCCTATAGGGAAATTCGCTAAAAGACATACAAAATCAATTTTTACAATTTGTGGCATTGATCTATAAATACCCCCGCCGCAGCAAACCTGCAGACTTAGCGAATTTCCATTTGCCTGATTGGATTTACACTAAAATGTCTCCTTAAAAATATCACATTTATTCCCTATTTAAACAGAATTAGTTAAATGAGTTCTTAGGTTTGCTGCAACAGGGAGGGTAAAAAAGTTTTTTTTAAATGTAAAATGTTAAAAGGTACTGTAGTTTAGTAAGAAATTAATGTATTTTCCAAATTTGATCAAAATATGTCCATAAACAAGCAAACTACAACAGTTGACTTATTCTCCATAAGAATAACATGGGAATTTAAAATTAACATTTTTTGAATTTTCTCCGTAACAATTAGGCGCATAATAACGCTTCAATATACTAAATTATTTGTTTTTTTAAGCTCTACAAAATGGTTTAGAAAGAAATTGTGAAATTTTGCGTTTTTAGGGTCAAAAATGGGAAAAACCTATTTTTACCCCATAAAACCCCCCATAAACCCCCGTAAACATAGTCCGATCATGCTGGTTCGCGAACTCATTCAAGTTTATCCCGACTTACACCTTCAAACCAAATTTTATCGAAATTGGACAAAAATTACTCAAGTTATCGTGCGGATGGACACATATATATATATATATATATATATATATATATATATATATATATATATATCTCTATATATAGATATATAAAAATTTGAACGAATGGTGTTTTTGGCCTCTGGGGATATCAAAATGAAAAAGTAAATCGGTCCCGGGCCTAGGTCTTACCATGAGACCTACGGTAATAGCTACTTCCCTATAGGGAAATTCGCTAATATAAAAACAAAAAAATGGGTAACAATTTAAAGGTACCTATAGTAACTTGTGACTCGCGGGTCACGGGGTGATCGTCTGTATGACTCACGGTCACGGCCCGATCGTCGGTATGACTCGCGATCACGGGGTGATAGTCTGTATGACTCACGGTCACGGCGGTCGCTATGACTGCGTCTCTTGCGTTTGCGGACCTATTGCTCGCAATAACGGCGTTATCGGCACTCGCGAAGCGGAAAAATCGCCGACGATCGGACCAATTCCCGTCCCGAAAAATTCCCGAGTTAAATGTAATCCCGTCCCGATAATCGGGAATATTTTTTTCCCGAAAAATTCCCAAAATTTCGGGACCCGTCCATCCCTAGTTTTTATATAAATGAGGATTATTTTACAAAAGAGAAAATGAGAACATGTTTGTGTTAGGTGATTCACAATGAATGAATGCAACAATAGAGATTTATATATGGTCAAGTGATGAGAATCATAGATAGACTGTTAAGGAACAAAGTCGTTTAAATTAATACTAAAACACAAAGACAACTTGACTGAATAAACATGTTGGTGGAGACAACCATTGTATGGAGTTCGCCTATTGGGTCTGATGATGATTAGAGTGTCCGATCGAAATCGATCACCACTTACCATTTTTTAGCGAATTTCCCAATAGGGAATAAGCTATTACCGTAGTACTCATGGTAAGACATGGACGCGGGTTAGATTTTTTTTTCGTTTTGAGGTCCCTAGAGGCAAAAACACCATCCGTTCAAATTCATATATATATATGTGTCCGTTAGCACGATAACTCTAGCAAAAATGGTCCGATTTTGATTAAATTTGGTATAAACGTGTAAACCTACATTTATTCGAACGAGTTCGCGAACCAGCATGATCGGACTATGGGAACGGGGGTTTACAGGGGGTTTTATGGGGTAAAAATAGGTTTTCCCATTTTTGACCCAAAAAACATAAAATTTAGCAATTTCTTTCCAAACCATTTTGTAGAGCTTAAAAAAACAAATAATTTAGTATATTGAAGCGTTATTATGCGCCTAATGGTTACGGAGAAAATAAAAAAAATTGTAAATTTAAAATTCCCATATTATTCTTATGGAGAACAAGTAAACTGTTGTAGTTTGCTTGTTTATGAACACATTGATCACAGTTGGAAAATGTTTTTATTTCTTACTAACTATTAACATAAAAAAAAAAAAAAAAAAAAAAAAAAAAAAAACTGTTTTACCCTCCCTGATGCAGCAAACCTAAGTACTAGTTAAACTAATTCTATTCAAATAGGAAATAAATGTTATATTTTTAAGTAGACATTTTAGTGTAAATCCAATGAGGCAAATGGAAATTCACTTAGTCTGCAGGTTTGCTGCCGCGGGGGTATTTTGTATATTACCATCTTGTGAGTAACAGTATAAGCGTAAATATATGTTTTAAGTAGGGATGGACGGAATTGAATTTTTAGTTCGGGACGGGATTTTTATTTCCTTCCCGATTTTCGAGACGGGACGGGACGGGATTTTTTTCTGTGCATAAAAAGAAAGTACTGTATTGCAGTTACCAAAAATACCCCCGCCGCAGCAAACCTGTATATATTGATATATAAAAATTTGAACGAATGGTGTGTTTGGCCTCTGGGGACATCAAAATGAAAAAGTAAATCAGTCCCAGGCTTAGGTCTTACCATGACACCTATGGTAATAGCTACTTCCCTATAGGGAAATTCGCTAAAAGACATACAAAATCAATTTTTACAATTTGTGGCACTGATCTATAAAAACAAAAAAATGGGTAACAATTTAAAGGTACCTATAGTAACTTGTGACTCGCGGGTCACGGGGTGATCGTCTGTATGACTCACGGTCACGGGGCAATCGTCGTCACGACTCGCGATCACGGCGCGATCGTCGGTATGACTCGCGGTCACTGCACGATCATCGGTATGACTCCGCGGTCACGGCGCGATCGTCGTCATGACTCGCGGTCACGGCATGATCGTCGGAATGACTCGTGATCACGGCTCGATCGTCAGCATGACTCTGCGGTCACAGCGCGATCGTCGTCATGACTCGCGGTCACGGCATGATGAAGGGTATGATGAAGTTCCTGGACCAATAATTAAAAAAGCAAAAGAAGTATTGATTAAACCCATTACATTTTTGATCAATTCATCATTGATAACTGGAATTTTTCCACAAATATTGAAAATAACAAAAATTAAACCAATTTTTAAAAAAGGGAAGTCATCAGAAGTTGATAATTTTAGACCAATTGCTCTAATCACTATATTTTCAAAAATTTTTGAAAGAGTTGTTGCGAACCAGCTGATTGAGTACCTTGAAACTAACAAGTTGTTTGATTGTTGCCAGCATGGTTATCGTAAAGGAAGGTCAGTGGTAACTGCAGCAACAGAGTTTATTGAATCTGTGATCGACTCAGTTGATAAAGGCAAGAAAGTTGTAGGCATATTTATGGACTTGAGTAAAGCCTTTGATAGCATTAATCATGGGACTTTATTACATAAATTGAAATTGTTTGGGATTGAAGGGAAAGAATATAATTGGCTTAGTACATATTTATGTAACCGACAACAGTTTGTAGAAATTTTAAATTTAAATAACAATAGATTGCTCAAATACAAATCCACTCTTAAACAGGTAATAAGAGGTGTTCCTCAAGGGTCCATATTAGGACCTTTGTTATTCACATGCTACATAAAAGACATGCCAAAATTACATAATAATTATAGCTTATGTCTTTATGCTGATGACGCTAATCTTCAAATAAATAGGCACTCTATTGAGGAGGTTGAGTTGTCATCATTTTCAAACCTGGCTCTTTTAAATCAGTTTTTCCAAAATAATAGTTTAGTACTAAACTCTGCTAAAACAAATTTCATTGAATTCAAAACTTATCAAAATAATAAAAATATGCTGTCACCTACCATCATTCTAAATGAAACTGAATTAGAGAAGGTGTATGAATCTAAATTTTTAGGATTAACTATAGACAGCAACTTGTCTTGGAACAGCCATGTCAATAATCTAGTTTCTAAATTAAACTCTGGGGTATATGCACTAAGGAGGCTCTCAAAAATTCGTTCAACAGAGACTCTGAAAATAGTGTATTTCGCCTATATTCATTCAAATATCGCCTTTGGTCTTTCATTATATGGGGCAACTTCCATTCAAAATTTGAACAAAATACTAAAAATTCAGGAACAATCAATTCAGATTATATTAAAATTAAATTATAATGAATCAGTAAAACTCTTTTTTTCTAAAATTGGTATCATGACTGTATATGCAATGTACATTTATGAAACTATAATTTCTGTGAAAAACCGTCAGGACC